GATAATTTTTGCTGTGTGTGTAGAGTGTGTGTGTACGTTGAATTTTTATCCGTCCAGATTACATCGGTACAGGGATAAGAGGATGTAGCTTTGAGAAACTGGAAGATGGGAGTCAAAAAGAAGATTGGCAGAACTCTTTGAGATCTTGGGATTAGGAAAGAGAAAAGAGGAGGACACCGGGTGCGCAAACCACATTTCCTCCTCCTTACGAGATTCTTTTTTCGTATATTTCGATATCACCCTACGGTGATTGTGTGCGATGACGAATATCTGGTATTCCAGTGTCGAAGACTGTGATTGGATGGGAACGGGAACGTCATGTTGGATAGGAGGGGCTTTGGGGAGTTTCAAACTCTAGAGTGACGAATAAACAGACATTGATGGTGATATTGAAGGAGGTGAGAAGATATTGTTACCGTTTTGCATTCACTCGCTTGTTATTTCTTGGAATGACAGTCCCGTTGTCGAATCCTAGTTATTGTCACCATTTACTTTACTATTGCTCATTCTCATTCTATCTTATATCTCCCGATTTACCGAGTCTGCCCGTTTCTTCACAGAGATTTGTATTATGAGTTTCGTGTTCTCACAGCCTGGCTGAGGATTCTGTGGCATCAGTCCCTTAGATTATCTACCTTATTCAGGATTTGAGTCTGAGAATGAGATTTGGGGAGATTAGTAGACTTTAAATAGTAGGATTCTCGAAATGTAACATGGATATTCAAGTAGTGATCAGAGTCGTATAATAATCCCCGCCCTATAGTTCTATTTCGAATTCTTACACAGCATCCCAGAACTCAGAAAAGAAATTGGGTTGAACAGGGAGGAGTATATAAACACTGTAATTTCCCGATTCTTGTATCTTCATAAAGTTTTGATGAATGCGTGGAAGACTTCATATTGGCAGTCACATTGAGTTCATGAATCATGGCTTCAGTGGGGGCCGAAAAGGAGACAGAGAATGAACATCTACGGATGTGCCAAATTTATTGGAGGGATAGAGCCTTTTCTGCATGGTTGAGAATGTTGTGAGTACTGCCATTTTCAGAAACTCTTGTCAGAGGATCTATGTGTCATTGTTATGCTGATATCAACATTTGATCTTGTTAGGTTGAGGTGAGAGATATTGATATTTGATGATGGTGAATATGGTATGTTGGATTATCATTTGAATTGAGGGATATTATAAATCTCACCCTTTTCCTCCCTTTATACACTTTTTGCATCAAGAACATACTTCCCTCAAGGATGAGGAGACTACGTTTTACCCAGTGAAAGATACAAGATAAATCACAAGTGCAAACATCTAGAAGTGTAGGGATGGAGCATAAGCAACATCTTGGTACGAAAGAAATTGTATATGCTAAGCTCAACCGCATTGAACTTTCCTTATTGACGACATATCCTTCTCACTTACCTCACATGCATTAAACTCTAGGAGTTAATACCCGTCCCGGTCTCGAAGATATGAGGAGAGCAGAATGAAGGATCAACTACCCGACTTCCTTTCCTATTCATAAATGATAAATTTGATAGCCGTGGGCTGAATTCGTATTTACTATGCTTGAACTCCGTGATAGACATGACGTAAGATCAGCGTGCCAATTATCTTAGACTTTTGAGATGAAAATTAACGCTAAGTGTAAGGAAGTTTTTCACCTAGCCGGTAGTTGGTAAAGGCTTGTGCAGTCATATTTGCTGACAAGCAGGTCATTTGTAGTGTTACATTCACCAAGTTTTAGGTAACCCGACGAAACATGTGAGAATTGGAAGTTTAGAGGTCTCGAAGTAATACACTTGACTATAGATATCGATTGTCAAATCACTCACTTACCACAAGATCATCCAAATCTATGGACAGTCATAGAACTTTCATGAATTTCACCACAGAGTGCTAGAAAGGAAATGTGTATATTGTGATCTTTTTCGCACGTAGTTTTCTAAATTGATATTTACAATCCCCCAAGAGACATGTCACTCACAAGTGAAAACACTTTCACAATAATTTTCTTCCCTCCCACTCTCAAAATTCGTCTCAATACCTTGTCGAGAAAATCGAATAGAATGTCTGATAACAATCTCCCTTGAAGAAAACCCATATCCCCATTATCTCAGTATGCTAGTAAACTTGATAGTACGTCGGCGGAAGCGCAAACTATCTCAATGCGTGGGAGGTTTACTTCAGGATGCAATCTTCCCCACTTTTCGATAGTATTGCGTATCTCTTCGGTCTTTTCTCGATAGATTTCCTCCAATATTGCCTCTTTCGAGTGAAACAAGAATCGCATTCCGGGAACTTCTCTGGTCCTCTTTTGGACGACGTCGGATCCAATCACTAAACTGAAAGACTCAATCATTGGAAAGGTTGTAAAGAGTTCTGCGTAGAGACATATTCTCATCTCTCAACATCAAAGTACTATCAAAAGCGTCGTTACGGTAAGAAGCAGGAGCCCCGATACCGTAGTGATGGCGATCCGCTAGAAAGCCTATGTGACGAAGCTCGGCGAAAACCATTTTCCTCTCGTGGCAACAAAGTAGGTCTGGGCAGAGAAATTTGTTTCCAAGGCTATACAACCAGGAGGTGCGCGACAAATCAGCCTGACAAATCAGCCTGACAAATGATCGTATCCTCTGATGGACTGTAAAAGACGGGAGATTGATTCCATTTGGCGTTATTACAACCCGCGGTATGAGTACCGAGCCTTTTGTAATATTTGAGAAACACTTCTCGAGACTCGAAGCTCACATTGTATAGTGTATGAGGCTTCAAAGGCGGATATATTCCATGTTCACTTGCATGAAACATTTCTCCTTCTGGAAGGGCTTGGAACCATATCTTAAGTTGAATCTCCTTAGGTAAGAGGGAGAATTTAGGAAAGCTCGAAGCCACTTGAACGCTGGGAGCATTGATCGTGTCGTTGATGTCGGAGGAATCATCGTGTTGGAGATAGTGTTTAGTTTGTAGATGAAATCTTTACAGAAGTCTACAAAATTTGAAAGCACTGGAAAGCTTGGAGCATCCATCACAACATTGATATCAGGAGGATTCATCGTATTAGTGTTTTTGTTTCATCTGTAGAGAAGACCTTGCAGAAGTTTATATAACAAGTTGCATTGATGCGGCTGTTGTTAAGATTGACGCTAGTGAGATATTGAATGATTCTCGGCTCTATGAGAATATCATGACCTATCAAGAATTTTCATGGGCGATGGAGAACTGCAGTACTGCAGATTTATACTGCGAACTTAGTTCACCAACGAGACTCTCGTAGTGTTGAATGACAATGAGCTACATTAGAGCCAGATATTATTGAAAGTCCATCGATGTGTTTATTATCACCATTTATCAGTAAACTTCCCTTATCAACATGTATAAAAATCTCACTACACGTCTTTAGGAAGCGCGCAGAGCCTGGCACACACACCCCTCTTTTTTGCAGATACGTACAAAATAATTACAAGGAGCTGATCCTTCGATGCCTTTTCTATGTACTTATAGCCAAGATTAAGTAAAAACAACCTCAAGCTACGAATTGAAACTTTTGATAAATGACTAGTATTTGACTACAGTGCCCAAATCAACGTTCGCTGACTGACACCCCTGTGGTGGCAAAGTTAATATTCCGGACGAAGAGAAATTCAATATAAACCCCTATACAAATTTCTATTTCGTACATTATGATATTAATATATATATTCGTTAATGATGAATAAAGCTTTTTATTATTGATAAATTAAATTCGTTCTTTTTGCAACCCATTTATTATTGAATTTTAATAGAAAAAAAGAAAATAAGGGTTCTAAGAGGCCTTAGGAATTTCGAGATCTTCGAATATTAGAATTGTAGATAAGGTGGACAGAAGGGAGTAAGTATACGAACTAGGAGGAGGTCAAAGAGGTGAACTAAAGCTAAAGGGGAGAGGGGGGGAATAAGTGTAGGAACTAAAGGGTGGATGGAAAGTATTAGCCGAAAGTTTAAAGGGGAGTAGACTCTTTCGGAAGTATATCACTTTCAATTTATTCTTCAATCATAAGCTTTACTATTATGCTACAAATATATAATGTATTAAATAAACAAGAATTTGGCTTATTTCCAATCTTTATATAAATAAATTCGAATTTAATAAAAGATTTAAGATAAAAGTATAATAAAAAGATTAGTAATTCTTAATAGATTCTAATTAAAACATTTAAAAGAACTTTTTTATTATTTTATTAAAATCTAATAGGAAATCAATTTAAAAGGAAAAGAAAAGGAAGAGAGGGGGGGGGTTGAAAAGCAAGTAAAACCTAGAAGCTTTCTACTTGACAGATAATTGTTGCCTCAAGCCGAAACTTTCAATTAATCTTTTAGAATTCAAGAAATTCACTAAGAACTTATTGATTAGAATAAGCTTTGTAAGATATAGAGACTTAGATTGATTATATTAATACTTTAAAAACGATTTATTTAATATATAATGAAGGTATTGTAGAATTTATGGCAATTACGAAAGGATCACTTCGTCAACCACGGATTCTGCCACCACAGGGCACGAACTCATGAGCCGAACGCAATGGGAGAGAATATCCTGGACGGAGTGGGGTATATGAGTGATGGAAATGGTTTTAGCCCCGTTTCTGTTTAGAAAGCTTCAGGCTCTTTATGGATGTAGGTGATATTTCATGATGGCAATGGATGGATGGGTGATGTGCTTGTTGGGAACTATGTTGTCTCTTCAGATTACCGAATCGAAACTGGCGGTTTCTCATACCTTTGTGTTGAGAAGTTATCTCATAATTGAGTGGCACGAAGAAGCTTTTCTACAAGGCATCTTTCGTGCATCAAAGTGTGGGAGGTGAATGAATGTTGGAATGTGGTTGATTTTGTGTTCTGACTAAGCGCCCCTAAGAAGTCTAGTTCTGACAGACACAGTTTTGTGATATCAGGATGGATAATAAATGGGATATAAGGCATTGTGTGATTGTTTATCTAAAAGCGTTCTCTTATAAAATTTGTTCTATGCCTGTGGCTGTACAATAATATTGATAGCTCCACCAGGACGATCTCCCACGGCCTTGAACGCATCATTAACCTCATCTAATGAGAAGAATTTGTGTTGAAGAAATGAGAAGTCAATGACTCCCGCACCAATCAACTCGATAGCCTCATCTATCTCCTCACTGGTAAACCACAGTGTCCCGTTAACACTAACATCTTGTTCCATAACTTCGCCATAAGAATGAGTGATATCACCGGCCACTCCACCAGCAGCCAGTGCTACTCTTCCACCACGTTTCAAAGAGCTAATCAGTTTGGAGGTACCACCTGCATCACCTCCATTACCAAGACAATCGTAAAGACCATCGGGACCTAATCCATTTGTTTGTTCTTTAATCCACTGAGTGAGATCCCCCTCATCTTCAGTGGAACGGACAACGATACGTCCCTTCGTGGCCATTCCTTCAATCTCAGCCAGACGTTCTTTATTACGTCCAATTCCCAGAATTTTCGTACAGCCAAAACCAAGAGCAATCGCTACGGCGGCATATCCTAGAGTACCTGTCACACCGTTGATTACAAGTGTCTTTCCAGGTCCCATTCCACATTTCTTAAGACCTGCATATGAAGTACCGATGTAGCCGAATCGAGCTGCGGTGTTAATGTCGATCGAAGGAGGAATCACGGCGATATTCGCATCAGGTGATAACAAATATTGTGAGAGTGAACCAATGGGATATTGCTTAAGAATTGCCTTTCCTTCTGGGGTTCCATTACCGAAGTAAGCACGCAGACATCCCCAGGTGCATAAATCTTTCCTCCCTGCATTTTGTTAGCCAAAAATACAAAGATTCTCGATATTCCGCCAAACTTACCCTTTCGACATTGTTTACAGTTGCCACAAGATATATGCGGGTCAACATAAACTCGATCCCCGGCCTTTAGCCCAACAACATTTTCTCCTACAGCTTCAATAACACCGGCAGCATCCAAACCGAAAACACATGGTAATTCCGGCAAGGTAAAATATGGGCCTGGGCCTTTTGTTATAACATTGATACTGTTCGGAACAAGACAAGCGGCCTCGACTTTGACGAGAACATCTTTTGGTCCTGGAGTTGGCCTCTCGATTGTCGTTACTTCCAAAGGCTTTCCTTGCTCCAACAATTGAGCAACTCTCATACCGGTCATGATTGCGATGAATTTTAGAAAAGAGTTTTGGAGTGGTCGAGATCACTTTGTCTGTACAGAATCTGATGATGCGATTGAGGTAGTGAATGGGTTACAAGTTATTCTTATATACACATCAATCGCACCGTCACTCACGACTCACTTGTGATCGTGTCACCGTCCGGAAATTTTTGCGGACTCCGAAGGTAAATTTCAAAGCAGGCTTGCTCGGATATAGGACTTTCTGAAACTCGATCTATTCGAACCGAAATCGAAAATTTATATCGACACCAAAAATTAATTGTGTATGCCTAGGCACTAGACTTCTAGTTTGGAAGCTACATATTGATCCAGATCTTCTCGAAGGACTTTCGATGTGCTGTCAAACGAACCCGCTTTTTGACCTTTCAACTTCTCGATTCTTCAACCCCTCAAATCTCCATAGGTACAGCTTTCCACAAAACTAGTGAGTTAATTGTGATTTGTATCTTCAATACTGACGTCCTCTATTATTAATCTTCATCAAAGGTAGATGAGTTATACCAGTTCCATCTATCAAAGTAAATACAATTCGAAAGTAAGTTAAGATTTCCTTGCCTTTTGCCATCTGCTAAAGTCAATCCCAATGGGTCTTTACAAAGCGATGTGATACACCCCCTAGGTAAGCCAAGCAGGCAGGAACTCCATTAAAATCGATCGAAAGGGGTCCACAATCGTCATAACTGCCATAAGCTCTACAAGCGCGGTATCATCCATCAGGCGCTTGGCGAGCTAACGGGTGCTCTTCGGTAAGCATGTGGGTATTTCCCGTGCCGTTATCCGATGAATCGTTTGCTTGCCTGGCTTTGGTAGCAGAGTGTCTACGACAGCGTCGACAGGCTATTAGGAGAAGTGATGACTGCATGATGGCAGGATATTAAGCTTTGTAAAATAGAGTGCGATATTGAGGATTCCTCTATTCAGTAGGCAAATGGATATTATTTCGACTAGTGTTGATTGTTTTATGTGATGGACAACAACACTTCAAGAAAACTCATGGGTCGTTCGTTAGAGGTCGGAAGACATGTCATTTGGCAGAGGTATTGTATTGTCTCTCAAAAACTCGGAATTGACTGTCATTATTGGATCCTAACTACCGTGTCTTCTTCACTGCCGTCAAATCTTCAATAACAACGTAAACCCAAAATGGTTAGAGAACCGATTGATCGAGCAAAGTCGATCGTGAAATAGGGGAAAGTTTTCTGGTGGAAGTCTGACCAATGATTGTTCTGAATTCCTGTGCCTTGACATGGTCTCCAGGAGATGCGGGGTTTGGGAACTCTATACCTGGAACTTCGAGCGAAGTTGGGACTGGAAGCTAGGAGCTGGAATATGAGATGGGAAGCTTCGTGTGCGAGTCCCCTAGCACTTTCGAGAGGATCCTCTCCCATCAGTACCGCATCTGCAAGCTGTGTAAGCCGAGACTCACGAGTCCTCATGCGGTCGAGATCGAGAACCAATGTTATATAAGCACTCCTTGTGGTTCTGTACCGAGAGAGATCATTAGAGATGGGTTTATACTAAATAGAACCCCCATTTACAACAATCTAATACAGACCACGCGAGTAATTATTGCTGCTGCAAATCCAAGATTCTGAACCTAAATTATGTTCAAGAGTAAAGAGATGAGAAAAATTTGGGGAATGGCGTGCGGTAGTCAGGATGAAAGTTCCGGGCCGCTCATGTCCATTTTTGTCGCTTCGTTTCGCTCGCCGTCAATGACGCTTTTCACTGGTGTCAGTTATGCCGTAAACGTACAATTGCAACCACATCTACACCCTGAGCTCTAGTCTCACACAAGCAGAGTTGCTTTTCCACACGTTCCTAGAACTAGATATATTTTCTACAGGCCATAATTTCTCACTCGGATTTGTTTCCTATGGTAATCTGTGATGAAAGTTTCTAGATACTTGGGGTCTCTTATACACGTTCCGCAGAATCTCGTCTGATAGAGATTTTAAGAATTATGAAGTACAACTTTAATCGTTATATTTGATTCGTTGAATCTGATTGGAGCTTCGCCAACGCAGCTCACAGGTTGCCGCGCAAATACCGTGTACGCATAGCCAAATCCAACAAAAAGCGAAAAGTATGAGAAAAAAGTATGAGTATATAAGATTCCTCCTTGCTTTTACTGTTTCGTTATCGAATAATACTTGATACCGAAAAGTTGACAGGAGAGAAAACCACGTTTACCTTTAGAATCAGTAGGGCTACTGAATAGAGATAGAACAAATTTGAATAACCTGATACTCGGTCAAAAACTGGCATCATGCTTGATTTCACCGTCCAAGACTTCCAATTGTTGTCATCTTCCAAATTGATTCCGCATTGTCATTTTCATAAACTTCATTGTCATAAATTCCTTTCATTGCCAATTTCTTAGATCACCCGACACCCATATTTGCCCTCTCGTGTATCCATATCAAGCAGCAATAATCCTGCTTTCTCCAGACAATTAATCGGAACCCACACCATCACTCCGCTCACCTGTAAGCCACAATCCAGAATCTTGTGTGTTGTTAGAGAAAGAAAAGAGCGGATTCGGTTTCAGCATGCAGTTCTTATAGGAAAGGCACGGAGACGGAGAACTGTTGCAAATTCCAAGAAAATTCTATATTGATAATATATATATATAAGGAAACTTCCAGTAAATCCATCCAAATTTGTGATTATCTTGATTCTGCGGAGCTAGCAATTATATGCATATCATCACTATAGCCAATAGTTTTCGCGCATTTACAAATTCCTTTCTTGTGCTAAAGCATGCGGACCTATAGTAATTTGATCCCATGCATCCTGAATTTTCGGTCAGCCATGTATGAAACAGTAGTATGGGAGGGCGTGTAACTCACCCAATCAAAATCTCCCGGTACATCGACTTGTTCCCCAAAGGTTCCAAAAATTCCTCCTGTATCGAACATATTTTCCGGAATCATACTTATATCATTGAAGCTGGCGTCTTGGTTTGTAAACATTGTCGGCACAGAGATATCTGTATATATTGGTACCGAATTATCAAGCACTTCCGCATTCGCCAGATTCGTAGTCGTAACAATAGGAGGTTGTTTAACACAATCCGGATTTACATTCAACACAACATTGTTCTGTACCTTTACCGTCAACCTCTTGATCAAACTGTCTAAGATATCAACTGCCCTTTTAGCATCCTTACACTTCCCCTCAACCTCCCTCCAAATATCTCTCGCCATGATCAACGCCTCCAACTTTTTCTTTTCAGCAACAGCACAATAACTCATGCCCCCACTCCTTGGGTCCGTTCTTTGATTCGTATTCAAATCTAAACACATAATCATAGCTGCGAGTAAGAAATCATGATTTGTCATGGAAAAATGCCACCATCTTAAGTCCTTTAGTATTGCACCCGGTTGACTCGCTTCGTGCATGCTGACTTGGATGTTTAGAAGAGCCATGGAGGATAGTACACACATACGTCTTGAAAACCAACGAAATTCATCTGGGTTTCCGGGTAGTGTGGCATTCCAATATTTGCGATGAAGAAGAAGTGTAGCTTTGTAGTAAAAATTTTGGAGGAAGAATTTTTCGGCAACAGTGGATGGGGTGTCGTGAGCCATTTGAGAAAAAGTACCGAGTTGGAGATGCGGGGGAATTTGATCATGGTATTTCTTCAGCATTTCGTCTAGTTTGATTACTTCGGTATATGGTTGGGGTTCGACGATGTGAAGGAATTCAATGACATAGCCGTAGGCACGCATAATCCGAGATTGGACGCGTTGGTAACAATTTTGTGTGCTTTCAGTATCAGGTCTGGATGGGGGGAGAATGGTCATGTCTTCGGAAAGCTCTTCTACACACAGGTTGCGGGGTTCTTTGGTATCGCATTCGGCGAATTTGATGGATTTTGGAAGTCCGATTTGAACGGAGAAAAGTAACCTGTTGTTCAACTTTAGTACGATGCGGTGTTGAGTGTGGGCAATCATCGTGTGGGCCATATACACCCGAGAACTTCCACTAGCTTCAGGTTTCTACTCAGAGAAGTTGTAATGAAAGATTGCCAATGCTCGAATTGACAAAATCAGGCAACACATCGAACATTTCTTCCGTACTTCAGCCCACCAGGCCAGCAAAGCCTTATTTGATTGAAAAGTCCCCAAACAAAAGTTACTTACTCATGCTGTGTAACAATCAGCCAAACACGGCGTCGCATTTCACCCTCATACACACTGAGACCAGAATGCTGATCTGGATCACGATGGTATCCCTGTTGCAGCGCTAGACGCATGATATTCCCGGATAAAAGCCAAGTACCCATATCACCATCTCGTTCATACGCATACTCAATGAAAGCGTAACATAGCATTGTCTCTATCATCAAGTAAACAGGTCTTGTGACATCAGCTATTATTAGACATTGGGCGGTGCGGATACGATAAAGTTCTATGACTGTCGCTAATGTATCTTGATATTCAGGAGGTATGTCATTGTTACGGGCATAGGATTGCAGGGCCAAACACATTGTTGAGAAGTATAGACCAATCCAAATGATTCGAGCTTTATGAGGTTCTTCCCAGAAACTTTCAATCTATGGGATAGGTCAGCCGATGATATTCACGAGATCGAGGTTCCAATTGCGAAGTTGAGTTCAACAACGAGAGATCCCAGACAAAATTTTCTTCGAAACATGCAATCGTATTCGAAGATAAAAGATCTTTTGTATCAGACGTATTTGTCCACGCTATTGGCCACTTTACGTAGTATGGGAAAATTCACCTGCTTCATATAGGTTGTTTTGTGGAACAAATCTTTATCATTTGTGAGCTTCCTTGATACACCAATCCAGCATAGATATAGTTATGGTCAGTGGTCACTTACAACACGCTGGTATGGAAGGGTTATAACTTTCAAAGAATCGTTCCATAAGCTTATCTGCCTCTTTCCTGGAAGGCAAAGATGCAAGTATCGTTGCACGATCAGGTGGTTCAGTAAGACTCCCTAATAGACTTGGTCGATAAGAAGCTGTTGCTGGTGGCAATGATGTCTCGAATTGATCGTGGTCATCAATCCATGCATCTTTCATTGCTCCGAGCTTTTTTGAAGTTTCAGCAAGGTGACATTTATGTTAGATTGTGGTCTTGCTCACATCGTTGAGAATCGAATCCCAATGTGTACTCCTTGTATCGACAGAAGATTTTTGACCACCTGCTTGACCGACGTGATCATCATTATTCTCTCCGAGACTTGGAGAGAGAGGAGGGATGGTTTTCTTTTTCTCCTTAGAAATTACAGATAGAATTGAGTTTTCCAATCGATTAATTCGTGCTCTCATGTCTTCCTGTTCCGGTTGAACAGTAGAAAGCCCCGGTAAACGAGCGTCATTCTTCTCAGCGTATGAGCAAGTAGTGATGGCTATATCTCCCCTTACTACACAATTTTGACATGGTTTTTCTCTGTTGCATTTTAGCTTTCTTACCCTACAAGCTTGACATGATAGAGGTACACGACGTCTGGTGAGTTTAGTACCTGTGAGTTTGCTCTGACCATTTACTCGCTCTCCACGCTCTCCTCGTCCGGAACGTTTTGTGTTATCCATGATTGATTGATTGCTGACCAATCTGAGATCATCACTATCAATTGGTTCTGAAACAGAACTGAAACAGAGAACACGGGTAAACGAGGAGTCGGGATAAAGCGCTCACGTATTGTACGGGATATTTGGTACCAAAAGTCAAGCCCGAGGGTTGTTTGTTCATCAAATCTAGATACAGACTTCCGGAATGGTCGGTTCTTCCAACCGGCCAACTAATTGCTAATCCGGGAATGTATGTAAGATTTGTCGTGATATGTAATCAAGCTCGAGCAAGTCAGCATGCTGCAGATCAGATATTGAATGGTAGCCGATAATTGGGTGAAGTGATGTTGGCTGCGGAGCCACCAGAATTTGATGCGTTGAAGGATAGATCACGTGGAACTTTCGTTCGGCGGAATGCGGCGGTAGAAACATAGGGAAATTGCCTTGAATGTCTCTGCTTTACGTGAGACCCTCAAAAAATCAAACGACTCCCAACGTTCAAGAAACCCCATCTTCTCTCCGTGTTATACATCAGAAGACAAATCATATTACTACATTGCGGCGATCAAACAGACTTCTAAAGTTGCTGTTGATAGCGTAAAAGTACAGATCCACCGACCCCGGCAACCCGGAGATAGCTTGATATCCCCACTACCAGCTATCGACCCCTGTGCTCGTTGCAAGATTCAAACTTCGAGAGACATTCAAGCTTCTTGGAATTTTCCACTACGCACTATCCAAATGTCGGTTCGACCAGCTTCAGTAGCTCTAGCCGAAGATGAAAATCGTAGGAAACGCGTTAGAAAAGGAACTAAAAGTTGTTGGGAATGCAAAAGAAGAAAAGTCAAGTGTCAACTGAGTTCTGAGAACGTTAGTGTTTGTTCTGGTTGCTTATCACGTGGAACGACTTGTATAAGTCAAGAATATCCAGAAGAACATGATTCTTCAGGCGGTCCTCAGCTTGGTGAACGCCTCGGTCGTATAGAGCTTGTTCTCGAAAGATTGATGTCTAAAATGGAACAGTATGAAGAGCAAGACAATGCGACTAAGATCCATACTCCGGAAAGCATGGGTACTGGTGATGTTCTTGCACCATTTGTAAACACCGCCTCAAATGGATACGACAGTGCTACAACTGTACCTATTCTTTCCCTTTTTGATAATCCTGTTGTGAGTGGTTCTACATCCCACATGGTATATTTGCTCACATCCTTTAAAGCTAGGTCGCCGAGAAAAGGAAAGCCAATCCGAGATCACAACCCCAAAATCTCAACCAAGTGGCGAAAAGACAACCACTAAGCAATGTTGCATACCAACAAAGATTGAAAGGATCAAAGATGTTCTAATGGAACTTCTTCCATCACAGGAAGCCACGAACATACTCTGCTCTTTCTCTGATTGCTGGCTATTGATACATTCTTTGACAAACCACTCAGCTCATATTATGCTAGAGCCATCAGCATTTAATCCGAATCATTCATTCAATGTTCCCAGCATCGCAAAAGAAAGTCCCGCAATGATAGCACAAATACTTCTCTACATGGCTGTATGCTTACAGCAAGTACCTCATGGATACGACGCAAGCCAATTAGGAATCACCACTAGTATCGAAGCTCGAGTAGATAAGATCATATCGACAGTGTCAGGGCTCGTGACTTCAGATGACGAACTTGTAGCTTCTGTTCAAGGACTGGAATGTTTAGTACTCCAAGGATTGTTTCATATGAATGCGGGGAATTTACGTCGCGCATGGCTTACATTCCGTCGAGCTATGAATATCGGTCAGCTTATGGGTTTACATAAACGCGAAGAGCTTAGTACTACACCTTTGCCACCTGGTGGAGTCAATCTTTGGAGAAGCTTGATGCAGGCAGACAGATATTTGAGTTTACTTTTAGGCATGCCTGCTGGAGCGGAGGATAGTGTGATCTTATCTCACGAGACTTTTAGCAATCCTAACATTGATCATGACATTCTATTCATCAGGAAACTTACAAATTTGGCTGGAGGGATTATTGAGAGAAATCAATCCGACTATATTCATGCATTTGCCAGTACTCAAGACCTTGATGAGAAACTCGAAAATATTGGTAGGGGAATGCCTGCATCTTGGTGGGAAGTGCCAAGTTATATCGAGACCATCAGTAAAGATCCGAACTCCGCCTCAAAATTTGATCGAATCATGTCACAAATCTACTACTTTCAACTGGAATCATTTTTACACTTACCATTTATGGTTCGAGCTGCTACCGAGCGTCGTTACGAATATAGTAAATTTACCTGTCTCAAATCATCTCGAGAAATCATATCCCGCTATCTCACCATCAGACGCTCAGGCACCAAATCTTTTTGTTGCAAGGTGATCGATTTTGGAGCTTTCACGGCAAGCGTAACTCTTCTCTTGAGTATACTGGAAGTCCCTCCAGTAGGCGGCGACACAATCGCAGTCCAAGGTCAAAAGAGATCTGACAGAGAGCTTGTTGAAACTGTCTTGGGTGTCATGGGCGAATGCGCTTCAGAAGATGATGTAATGGCCACTCAAAGTGTCGAAGTTATTAAAACCCTTCTCGCATCAACTAGCACAAGTGGAAATCTTCGTCTCACAATTCCTTATTTCGGTACAATTTCAATAGCACGTACACCTGTGTCTTCAACAACCGCTACAAATATCACCCAATCAACTCCCTCTATCGACGCTCAATCTTTGAATACGACTCCGTCTCTTATGCAAAGTATGACCCCGGGAGACTCACAGCAAGTGCAGAATGAATTCGACAATTCGCTTAATTGCCCATGGGCTGCTGCTCAACCTATTGTTTCCTTTAAAAGTAGTCAGTTCCCACCGCTGGAGCTGGAACAACAAATAGATGATTGGTCCAATTTGCAAGTGGATAATACGATGTTTTTTGACAGTTTGTTAAACACAGATTTGGAAGGAAATTGGTACTTCTAGTCGGAACCGTGGAATAAGGAGCTTGACAAAATTGAAACATGGTATTTGTTGCGAGAAAGGGCAATGATTCCAACGGCAAAACGGTTAATGGGCAGAGTCGGCGTATAGTAAAGAAGGCAAAAGTGAACAACAAAGAGATACCGATAGTGATCCGGCGCAGATTACGGAAGAGAATTTATGAGGCGCTTTGTAATATATGTACTTTAAGGGCGGAACTTGGGGGACATCAAGAAAATTGCAAGGCACGCTCTTCTCATAGTATAGTTTTCGCGAATTTGTTATATGATCATCAACTCAATAGGAGCTAGCTATTGAAGGCTATGCATTCTTTCATCTTATATTGTGACTTCTAATGACAGCTCATTTTTGAAGTTCACTCGTTGCTTCACTCATTCCCTATAACTCTCCCACGAACGCTGATACAACCTATTTAATTGCCACATGTAGCATACATATCTTCGTATCATTGTTTACATTCACTCGAGAATGAAAGTCACAATCTCAAAGTGCATTGTTTGAACTTAAAAACCACATATTGGTTTGCCTGCAGATGCTTATTGGCAGTAATTCTTTTTGCATACGTCAACTCGGACTTGCTATCGATATCTGAATGTGCTGCATCACCACCTACCTCATCGCCTCTACTCTCTTATCGAATATCAACCCAACAATCATTCATCATGCCACCCTCTCAACGTAATCCCATGCGAGAAATCCCAGGGTTTCCAAAGGAGCATAATTCTAGTCTTGAACCGAGGATAGACTCGTCCTCACTGAAGTATGGGTCGTTACAGACAAGAGTCGGCATCGCTATTTTGAGTAGCACAATGACGAAATTTTCATTGGCTCTTCCTGCCATTTCTAATTTGAAGAATGCGGAAAAATGCTAGTCATTTTTTGATAAAAAGAAAAAAAGAAAAGGGGGGGAAGGGGTCATGCGGTGATGAAAGGTATGGCTCAAGTGATATCACACATTTAGTAGCCAATGTTGCATTTTAGATATGATTTTGATGATACATATCAATTTCATCGGGACGGTATCGGTATCAGTGGAGTTACTGATTCTCCTGTATTATTTGACAACAACTGTTCTTTTTTTTTCTCCAGGAGCTTAGATTAGTTTACGGTCCTTATAGCATGGACAGTCTCATAGTCTCGTACCATTATTACAAAATTTGACTGGGCTGCTACGGTTCCAAAATGTGCTTGGGATGAACAAACGAACTAGTCATTTCCTCAAGTCCTCTTTATATGACTGTAATATCTTGAGGATCTGTTTGTATGACTGTGGATGTCATAACCGTACCTGATTTGATTCACAGCTCGCATTGAAGTAGTGTATATAAATGCATTTCCATCTTCTTGGGAACGAATCATAAAGCATACTTCCACAGTAAAACATCCAAATTCGTCAAACACACATACGTTTACCAACTTCCACCAAAAGTTACTCAGAGCACTTCAAACTAAGCACTAGAACTCACACAATCATATTACCATAGATCTCATAATCTTCATTCCGAATCTTGACATCCAATCCACGAAGTCTCAAATCTAAAGAAAATGCCATCTTCAAAACTCAGGAGTGGCTGGGACACTCAAGGTGCCTTGAAGCCAGAAGAACGAGACCCTACCTTTTCTGTCCCTCAAGACTACGAGGAATATTGGTTCCCTTCACACCAGAAGGCCTCGCGTAATTACGTGCAAAGACCACCTCCTATCGACTCAACCCGGTATAGGTATCAGTATGCCAGAGATGACATTCCTAGTGCTGATGAACATTACCGCGCACAAAAACAGCAAGAACAAGCAAAGCAACGACAAGAACCCAAGCCAGCACCGCCGTCTCCAACAGTCAGTCTTATTTCGACATATGGACAGAAACCTATGCATGGCATACCTAATGCGCGGGAAGAATCGCATCATCCTGTTCGAGACCATCGAACAGCGAGAAAAGATTTGGGACCGCCAGTATGGGCTCAACGCAAGCCACCTGTTTCTAGACCGGTACCTCAGAAGGTAAAGTAAAAAATGATTATTCTTGCGTACATATAGGAATGACACTAATATTTTTTGGTAGAAAACTAGTAGTGAAGAGGGAGGCTGCTGCTTGGTGATGTAGGGTGCTGGGAATGGTGTTATGAGCATAGCTCATTTCTGTATTTCATTAGGGTTTTGGCTCGGTAGCCTTGCGAGGTGTTGATATAACTGGAGTTTCGAATACTTTTAGACTATAAAATATGCAATTTTTGCTTGAGAAAATTGTAGGCGCCCCAGAGGGCATTTCACTGCTTATTGATTTGATAGAAATTGTCTCCATGTATTCTTAAGACTCTCATCACTCTTTTGTCTTTCATTCAAAAGCCATATTTTGAATGGTCATATTTTCCAGTCATTTTCTCCCATTACTCACCACGAAAATAGTAGTCATGTCTATGATTCATATCATTTAACCCTGATGCGACTCATTGGAATATCGAATCAAGATAAATAGTTCTGCTTCTCCTGTAGATGTGTTCAAGAAGCCAAAACTGAACATTCATTCAAACTCCAAATAACTTTTAAGTCGAATTCTACATACATTGATCAGAATTGGTACTTTCACATATCTGGCTCATACAATCTAATTATTTGAAGCACTTCAAATAAACCACAAGACTTCGTATCTTCATCGCCCAATCCTCATCTTCCAATCCACGACCCAGTCCCTAAAGTCTCAAAATCCAGTAATCACATCAACTCCAAGAGCCAAAATGCCGTTGAGTTATAATCCCTGCGACCTCTCCAGCTTTGAGGGTCCTAACGTCAAGCACAAAGACGCCAAACCAAGCAATATCGCAGCCTATAAACCATCCGTCGAAGAGAAGAAATACGATCCAAGTCAAGTCACCTTCGCAAAGATGGGGGAAAAGAAAGGTTTCCAAGGTCGTATCAAGGGAAAAGATCCTGGAGAAGTAATATATCAATTGCTTATTCAGATAAGATAAGTACGCTAACTTTTTGATAGAAAGAAAGTGGATGCTGTTCGGTAATGTAGGCTGAAGATGGAGTTCCGCGTATGGCTGTTTGGGCATGGTGTCGATGCTTTGTTTTTTCAGAGGATGTAAATTTTCATGGGAATTGTGAAGGTTTCCCGATGGTGTGGTATTTTGGCACATGGATTTAGGATATACACTGACTGTACAATACACAATCGTTGCTTTCCACATTTCTTCAGCAGTCTCTTTTATCAAGAACCCAGACTGGCCTCCCAAATTCCAAACTTTGTATGTTAATTCCGCTCCATGAGCGTTGATATGACTATATTTTGAACTTGAGAACTATAAGCTACAACTATTCCATCCTTTCATTATATAACTCATTCTTTCTCATTTCCCAGCTGTCCGAGTCATTCTTTCCAGACATTTCCTCCGACTACTCTAGGACTCACAAGTATAATACTTATGAACTTCCAGTCCCACACGAGACATGATATATGTACTCATCATTTTAAGAAAAATTCATTCTTTTGACCTCTCACTTATATGACTGCTCAGGAACTCGAAAGTACGTATAAAGAGTTATAATCTCAGGAGTCATAAGCGACATTATTTCTTGCCTCATGGAGTCTCTTATGACTACACAACCACAAAAGCTAACCATTCATAGTCCTTACCTACAGATATATGTATAGTTCCCATCTCCAACGATCGGGGAACTTTCTCACAATTCATACAATAACCAAGTTCAAAAATAATTTTCAAAATTTCTACTAGCATCGACACCTTTACACACACCTATCGTTTACCTCGTTCTCTTCAATACCTTCCAGTTTCACGCCATGCCGCACAATCCGTTCCAAAAGTCAAAGTTGGCGAATAAGTCAGCTCCAAATGATAGGACTGTCAAACGATCATGGCTACACTCCAAACTCCACTTCCAACTACCTGGGCGTAATCGGAAAAAGTCCTCTGAGCCCCAGGGAAAGCCCGGTGAAGCTTGGCGGCATGAAGTCGCTGCTCCTCACTCAAATTCCATCGCTGAGCCCAGAAAGACGCCTTCACAAACGGGAAAATCCCAGAATTTCGCGTCACCAGCGAAAGAACCTGGCCGGATTGCGTATATGGCAAGAGGAGGATACCTTGAGTCTCCTCAAGAGGAGCCGACCAGGAGTAGGGAGCCTCCTTCTATTAGGCTATCACAAGAACTTCGACAGCCGTACTCACAAGCACAAGACTCTCAAGACCCACCAATACCACCACCAGCTTTGACGTTTTCAAAGGAGCAAGCAGGTTACTATGATAGTCTATCTCTAGAAACGCGTCAAACTTATGGATACCCACTTCCTACAAAGTCATCTGAATTTAAAATACCAAGAAAGCCATTAGAAAAATGTGAATATCGTCTAGACGAGAATATAAAAGTAGAAATTGGGAAGAAACTCAATTTTATCCGGCCACAGATAAGAGATATCCCACCGCAAGCAAACTCCCCTAAGCCGAATTCGGGAGCAGGAACATGTTCGTCGCGAAGCAGTATCTGTTCACGACCACCTCAAACCCCTTTAATAATGAATAGCGAAGGGCAGATGAGGGAATTCTCCGATTTTGAGCAATTCCAGCCAAGAAAAGGATATCAAAAGTTACAACAAACTCTGAAGGAAACCAAGCATGCTCGACCACAAACAGTAACAGCAAGCGAAGTGCAAAGATACAAGTCCAACGCAGGCTCAATTCATCATAACCCATCACGAAGATCCTCGATGCAATTTTCGGAACCTTCTCATTCAAGACCCGGATCCAGCAGGATACATTCGGCAGTTCAACAGTTCCAGGCACAACAAGGCTTGACCTTCGAAATGTTAGCAAATCAATATGACAGTCTAGAAGCGCAAGATCGTCGAATTGAAGAGCACCACCAGTCATCAGCAGAATCTCTTCGGTCGGAAGCAAGATCTCATAAGTCAAGGGCGGTAACCACTCCTCAGTCACCTGGAAGAATTCACCAGGTTGAAGCAAGATCTTTACCGCCAACACCGCAGCCGCATCGGTCCTTAGAAATATCTGTTCATTCATCAGCAAGATCTTATAAATCTCGAAGACCAACTATTCCCAAACCATCAGAAAACATCAGTCAGTCAGAAACAAGATTTCTAGAACGAATGCCAATAACTAATTCATCGCACCAACCGGCAGCAATACCTATACATTCATCAGCAAGACCTTACAGACCTCGAGCACCAAATATTCCCAGATGGTCAGAGAATAATAGCCGGTTAGGAACAGGATATCTACAACGATTTCCGATATCACATCAACCACCAGCAATACCACATCAACCACCATCATCAAGACCTCACAGACCCCAAACACCACTCATTCCCAAGCCACCAGAAAACACAAACAAGCTAGAAGCAAGACCCTCGCGGCCAGTCCCAAACACCCTCAAGAAAAGAAGAGGGCGTCCTCTGAAATCACCGCAGTCACGTTTAGATAGAGTCAAGCCACGTTCGTCTGTATCATCTTCTGTGAGTAAAGTATCATCCTCGATTCGTTATGAGATTGGAAGTGTGCTGACTTTTTTGGATAGGAAAAAGAGGGGGAGAGGAAACGTCGGTGGTGGAAAATGTAACTCACATCATGGAAACTATGATTCTATGAGCATATTTGATATTGCATTCTTATTAGTAATCCCGCGTGTAGCAATTAGCGGGGATGGTACCACTGGAATCTTATGGAATCATCCAATTCTCCACTTTGAGGAGTGTTGGTATATTGAAGTCACCAGTCACTAGACTTTAGCATCAGTGTTTTGGATATGAATGATCTTTACAATAAGCAATCGTTGTTCAAATAGATTTCTATAAAATTAATGGATCTCTTCATGATAATCTAATTTGGTTAGGAAGGAATTTAGGTGTATCTCAAGCAACTCGCTCTATTTAAACACTCTGGACTCCACATAACTCGCTTAAGATACTCCCACTTACCCCTTCAACCCTATCGCCAGCCGTGAATAAGGACGAGACGAGATGAGATAACGAGAATCTCAAGCTCAAATCTTCCCAATCTAGTAAGAAGATTATGGAGAACCTTTTCCCGCCCTACAGCTCATGGAATTGAGTTTTGAGTACAGAATCAAAAGTAGAACTCTACTCCCTATTCCTAATGAAGGCCCCGAAGCCCTCATTTAGGAGGTGATATATTTCCCAAATCTAAATGTTCAAGGAAGCCATGAGCGGTCCTGATTCTTAACAGAAATCTAGTGAATGTCACGAATATGCCGTAGCATAGATCGCTAGCACAGCTTCTAGCTATACTATACGTTCCTCAGCCAGACCACTAGGTATGAGAATCAATGTAGAGATGAAATCGCTGCCTCTTCATAGACTCCTATAGCACAAGTAGAATCTTGTCCTCTCATAGAAAATCATAGACCATTCCTCACCAGTCATTCTCACCAGTCACCCCCATCAGTCACCCCATCAGTCACCCCCTCCAATTATCTATCAACACTCATAGCTACCACCCCCGACTATGACTGTACATCCACAAAAGCCCAAGACTCATATCATATACCATGAGTAATATGAAATATATAATTCCACAGCTTAGAGAACTTTCCAAACTCAGAACACCACATCCCAGATTAACAGTACATTCAAGCTCATTAAAGCTCATTAAACTTGACAGATATCAAACTGTTCCGCACTTTTCAATCACAGATAACTTACTCAAGTATCCAAATCATCCACCAACATTCATCAAGCCACATCATCACAAACTCACCCCTCATACCTCACAACTCACAACTCACAACTCACAAATCCAGCCCCCCACCACCATCCCAGCCCACCACGCCACACAATACCTCAGAAAATGGCACCCCACGCCAGCAAGTTCACCGAACACATCGATGGACCCATCGGAATGCCAGCACCAAGATCTGTTAATGGCCCATGTGCACCCGTTCCGCATAAGATTACTCGTAAACCTGTTCCGCGGCCGATTTTTCCTCCACCTGTGAGTTCTTTCAGTATCTACCCAGATACAAATACATATAGACACATAGATATATAGAGATATCTGATTTACTAACTGATTTTCTTCCAGAAAAAAGCGCCAGTGAAAGTAGGAGAAGGTTCGTGTTGTGGATGTGTGGTTATGTAGATTGTGTGTATGGTGAATGTAATGTACTGAGTAGATATTTATGGACTTTTATGAGGGATACTTAGGAAGGATGAGAAGTATTGGAAATGGTGTTATTGAGCATGACTTTATGGGAATAGTACATGAGGAATGGAGAACATCAAATTTGCTGTTAGGTATATAAGAGATCGCTAGTGTTTAGAAGTTCCAAATACTCTAGAAATTACATATCAACTGTCCAATTGATATTACCAACATCACGTAACTCCCCGTACACAATATGAAATACATCAAATCGTACCATACATAATCCAACAACCAACCCATCTTTGTATTTTCCATAAACACTTTGCTACAAAGCACACACAGCACATGGCAAAACCCTATCACCGTATAACAAAACAATCCAACTTGAAAAAAAAACATGAAAACATTTCCCAAACAGTCATTTTCCCAGTCATGCCTTGTCTTCATTCACTCCAGGAGTCACAAGATTCATGTCATCATATCATTAGGAACATGACTTGACTATACACTTAAAAACAGTCACTAATTCATAACCTACCATCTATAAGCATATAGATTCTGTGTCCCACTCTCATATGCATCCATATTCTTCTCATTTTTCCCGAACAATCGAAGAACTCAAACAAGATATCAGAGAACAAGATTCGAAATCATCTGCTTATGAATTTGTAAAACATCCTCGGCACTCATCTTCTCAAGACCTCAAATATCCACTCCACCCGAAACACTTCGAACTCCGACCTCCCAACTCCTCATCCTCCCCACCTCAAACAACCCCTTCAACCTAAATCCCAACCTCACACCCACCATGTCATCCTCATCCTCATCCTCATCCTCATCCACGCATCAAGACTCAAACCTAGCCCCAGCTCTCAACACAACAAAAAACAAACCCCGAACAAGTAAATTCATCGAAGGACCCATGCTCGACGAGCCATCCCAACCACCACCAAGACAATTATTCGACAAACATTCTAGTGCGCGATCGAGTTCCGAGACAAAGGGTACAGATGCACGGGTAGCAAGGACGACTTACCGACACCTTCCAAGGTCTGCTTCGGAACCTCTGGAAGTCTCGTCGCCTAAGACGATGGAAGTGAGGAAACTATCTCCACAACTCGCTTCAAATATAAACTCTACTAAGTTTCCTTGCTCTCATCAGACAACCGCAGAGAAATAGCGAGGGATGGAGTATGCGGGTTTTCTACCATGTATCAGAGGATTGAATGTCACTAGATAGTTCCCCGAAGCTGTTTTTACCCTGGAGGTAAATAATACACTGGCTGACACTGCTGGCACTCTCCGACATGAAATTTCTGTGAATGAGATACTCATAATGTGTGTCGATTACTTGTAATAGATACGTTTTATCAGTTCTCTGGAACTATTCTCGAGGCTGTTCTTCACCCTCGAACTAAACCAAGCGCTAGCAGTCTTCCACGCAGAATTCTGGATACCCCTGTACTGTAGAATAGATACTCATAATCGAACAATTGCAAACCATTTCTTCATACTTTCTGTGAATATAGAGGATTACTTTTCTCCTGCGAACAAATCACGCCCGCCCCCCTTCCCGCCGCCCTTCGCAGAATTTCAAACACCCCGGACAGATAGACGAAGCAAATATGAAGGGAATCTCATTTCGAGACATAAGACATAGTAGATAGGTGCCCGTAGAATCACATGCCAAATTAAGGTTCTTTTTTTTGTATAAAAAAATCCGCAAACCATTTACAATATAACCCTATCATCAAGTAAGTACATTGAGCGAGCCCGAACCAAATCAAAGTCAAAATCCAGATCCAACAAAAGATCATCCGCATATCGAATCCATATCTCCACATTTCCACACAGTCAATCAAACAACTCAACATCACAGAATCGCATCCCAAACCTCAGTGATCCTTTCATATACATTTTCATTCCTGTCATATCTCACAACCTAGCCTTCTCATTTTCCTTCTCCGTGCCCGGGAGTCATTCTCTCATATTAACCACACATCTAATACAATCACCCTTCTTCATATCATCAAATGCTTGGTTGATTCCCTTCAAAGGTTGTCTGTGAGTAATGAACTCATCAACCTTCAATTTACCTTGCATGTAATCATCGACCAATTGGGGTAATTGGGAACGACCTTTGATACCACCGAATGCACAACCTTTCCAGACACGTCCAGTGACAAGTTGGAATGCTATGGAGGATGTCAGTAATTTGTATCTTATACGAATATCGGCTGCTAGTAAGAAGAGGAAATAACTCACGTCTAGTACTAATCTCCTGTCCAGCAGCAGCAACACCAATAACAATACTTTGACCCCAACCCTTATGACAAGCTTCCAAAGCAGCTCTCATAACACCAACATTTCCAGTGCAATCAAAAGTGTAATCACATCCACCATCGGTCATTTCGATCAATTTCTCTTGAATACTTTGACCCTTCAATTCGGTTGGATTAACGAAATCGGTGGCACCGAATTTATCAGCCCATTCCTTCTTGGATGAGTTTACATCGACTACGATGATCTTTGAAGCCTTTCTTTGAACAGCTCCTTGAATTACACTGAGACCGACACAACCGGCACCGAAAATAGCGACAGTAGATCCTTCTTCGACCTTGGCAGTTTCAACGGCGGCTCCGTAACCAGTAGTGATACCGCAACCAAGTAAACAAGTGCGGTCCATAGGAGCTTCTGGGGTGATGGCGACAACGGAAATGTCCGCAACGACGGTATACTGAGAGAAAGTAGATGTTCCCATAAAGTGGAGGAGATCTTTACCCTTGCACTTGAAACGGGATGTACCATCTGGCATGACACCCTTTCCTTGAGTTGCACGGATTTTTCCGCAAAGGTTGGTCTTACCAGATTTGCAGAATTTACATTCTTTACATTCTGGGGTACTGAAGAGATGTTAGCGGTGTAGAAAGGAAAGATGAATTTGACAACATACTATAAAGCAACAACATAATCTCCTGGTTTAACAGATGTTACACCTTCACCGACAGATTCAACAATACCAGCACCCTCATGTCCGAGAACAATTGGGAAAGCTCCCTCGGGGTCTTTGCCGGAAAGTGTGTATGCATCTATCGACTTTATTAGCATCTCTTCTTTTACGATTCGTCCCATCTCTACGTATTTCCTCATGACCCCGCGCCTGTCCCCATCTCGATCCTTTTTCACAAACATCCTCCTCGCCCATTCGACAGCAAATCTTCATACTCGTGCCCCGTCTACCCCATCTTCCGCACTCCCCTATTCACCCCTCTTTCCCAAGTCAGAAGCAACAGAAAGTTGAAAAGGACCTACCAGTATGACAAACTCCCGTATAATAAATTTCAATTCTCACTTCATTCGCCTTGGGAGGAGCAACCTCAATATCCTCAATACTGAGTTCTTGACCTGCTTCCCAAGCAACTGCCGCCTATTCATTTCTCGATTAGCTTTTATTTCTTTCCTCTCCCCACTACCTTTCTCCAGCATCTTTCTATCTTCTCCCCGAATACCAAGATCCAGTTAAGAATCTCGCAGATTTCCACCCGCGCCATTCCGCAGCTCCCGCAGAAGAGTTCCTAAGTTTCTGTGGAATCTGCCAACGCAACAGATGATATTCCGAGTGTATTCGCAGCAGAAATGATAGATCTCTCCCGGGGATCATGTATGTATGTAGATGGGTATGAAAAATGGCAGCTAACCTTGCAGGTAATAGTCTATTATTATTTTTGAATTAGCATATGTACTGTACTGCAACTGCACGAATCTCCATTCCCACGAGTCCGCGAGAATCGTATGCATCAATCCATCGATCGATAAACCTCTCCGTCCATCTCCCGTCCCCCCACCAAACCGTGCAGACACGCAAAACAGAAAACAAAACATACCTTTCCAACAGTATCCGCAGGCATGTTGTCTTATTCCGTTCTTTGATTCGTCGATTCTCTTGTGTAAGTTAAAGCTCTCAAGGTATTCAAAAGCTCTCAAGGTGTACAAAATGCGTCGTGTATTTCTTGTGTTTCGTTCTGTTCGAGAAGAGGACAAACCAAGTAAATAGCCGTTGGTTACAAATGAGGGGTAAGCTCGTAAGTAAACGATATTTCGTTAAGCTTTAAGGTTGAATGGAGCTGTTTGTAAGGTGTTTGTCAGGTATGCTATGTCGGACTTCTTTCGGATAGGTAGCTACTTGGTAAGGCAAGGTAAATGAGGGGCAAGTTACAGAACAGGTAAAAGTATATCCACCTGTGATGAATATCTCATCAACGATTCTATTCCATTGGATTTCCTAATCAGGTATTACGATACAAAAGCTACGGAAGAGAGTATATTTTGACTCACACGCCGAGATTGTGCTGGGTGGACAATGTGATGAATTATCAGATAGCATAATCTTCCTCCAGGAGTAGACAAGACTTTACATACTACATAGATATCCAGAAGCTTGAGAATGAGGTCGGAGCTCATCGGCATCAATCCATCTCCCCACCTCGGGATCTTTTATCCACATCGAGTAACACTTTTTCGTGCCCAAAGAAGATTCACCAAGGACGACTGAATCTAGACTCGGAATCCTAGGTATTTCTTCTCGAAATTTCCTCGAAACCTATTTACATACGCACAGTATATAATACCAATACACATCTCTACATTATACCCCCTTCCCCTCTCTTCCCTCCCCTTCCATCCTCTCCTCTCCTCTCCTCTCCCCTCCTCTTACCAAGAAACCAAGACCATCTACCAACCAACCACCCAGCAGATCTACAGATACCGAAACCCTCGCAATTCGGAGACTGCGCTATGATTCTCTCTGCATCTAACTTTCTATCTAGCATCATACTTCTTGGCTCTCCTCATTCTCTTATTGCATCCCATGCCTAATACCTAGTATCTATCCCTACCACCAATTCAATAAGTCCAATCCATATCCAAACCAACACAGCACAATTCTCAATCTTCATTCTCAATCCTCAGTTCTCGATTCCCCATCTATATCCCCAGCATTCATAACCCCAATCAATCACTCCAATTCGATCCAATACCGATATACTACCTAGATATCCAATATCTAAGTCTAATCACCGATCATCCCGCCTCTTCCCTTCTCTACCAATACTCGTCTAGAAACGAATTTGTATTTATTTCGATATCTACATCTCTCCTGAAGAAATCTATACATCTACCCACTTACTCCATACTCATACTCATATCCATACTCCTACTCATCTACAAATTCACCTTTCCATCTCTCCTCTCTATCATTTGCTCTATCATTCACTCTATACCTCTCTACCTCTCTACCTCCTCCCTCCCTTACCACCCCTCCCACCCCATCACCTCCCTTTTCACCTATTCCCCTCCAAATACCTCTCCAGAGTCCAAACTCCCATACCAATTCCAATACTCATTCCTGCATTCACATATCCCATATCCTATATTCTATACCCACCCCATTCCCATACCCACAATTCATGTCCCCAAATCCCCAGCCTCACTAACAGACCAACTACATATAATTCAGATGTCAATCTGAATCTCCATCTCTATCATCAATTTCTTTCCAAATCCCCTTCTCCTCAAACCTATTTCTTTATCTCCCTCTATCCCTCTTTCCTACAACACCAAACTTAAAGCTCTTATAAACTCATACTACCCATCCATCCATCTATATTCCGCACCCTCCTATCTAAAATCTCATCCATTATCAATTCTACTACTGATCAAACCTCGTATACACATACACGCAACCCACGCGTGCACAAATCACATCGCATCACATCACATCACAAAACCAGAAAGCAATCATTACTGGTTCAAAATGTGTTATTCCATTTTGTATATGCCACTCTCCACTAGGTATTCTTGCGCTAGGTAGATATCTTCCACTCATTGTTCGCTGTTGGTATCTTCTACTACCACAGACACAACATCATCATCATCATCCTCGCCAACACTAATGCCAAGAGCCCCTCCGCGCGCTCCATAATCCTTCAACCCGCAGTCTCTCTAGTTTTCCCCCATCGTCTTCAGCGCGCTAGGTACTCTCATAGAACACTGCTCTCTCACCTCCTCCCACTCATTCGTCAATCCACCACAATATCAAACAAAAGAAAGCCACTACACTTCAAACTAGTTTATCGTAGGCTAGCTGGCCTCCAAAGAAAGAAAGAAAGAAATAAATAAAAGAGAGAAAAGAATCCATTCATCAAGACTCAAAAAAGAAAGAAAAAACGCCATTCCACTCCCCCATAATGGTATTTGTGATATAATATGACTACAAAGCTGTGCCCCTCAAATTCCCTTTCCATTCATTCCCACCACATATTAAAAAAAGGAGCACGGCTTCCGAAATGAAACTTTTGATGAGAACGTGGGTGTGTGCATAGCATGGATGGATGAAAAAGATCGTAACAATTTAAACCCCCATCCTATTCGAATTAAAAGTTTTGTGAAATACCTGCACTTTGTTGGCCTGGGTAATGTGATGGATTCTCGATTCGTGTGTTTCTTCTCGCTGATACATCACGTATAATTGGTTGACCCGCAGCTTCAGCTCGATTTTGTGGACTTCCATATGGTGTTGCATCGGTGTATGGGTTTCCACCAGCGCCTCCGTATTGATCATAGTATTGTCCACCTCCGTTATATCCAGCTTCACCTGATCCATCTGATCGGCCGGCTGCACTGTACGATGAAGAAGCATTCGATGGTCCACGATTTATATCACGATTTCCCGCTGTAGCTGGTCCCATAACGCCCATACCTTCTTCTTCATGGTGATCAACTAAAGGATTGTCAGATCGAGTATCGGAAAGTGCATGAGTCGGTGATCCATCCGAATAAGCCATACCAATTCCGCCTGCTGATTGGCCCCCAGATAATGTTGTCGAGGCTTTTCTTCCTGATGATGCTACGGCTGTAGTTCCCCATCCACGATATCCAGATCCTCCTTCTTCGCGCATTTCGAATGGTCCATCGCTTCCACCTGATCCTACAGCTGGAATAGTTGGATCATTGTTGGGGTTGTATCCATATTCCTCAACTTCCTTTCTTCTCATTTCTTCGGCATCCTTACGTTGCTTGCGTCTTCTCCAGAAGAATAATCCAGCAGCAATCAAAGCAGCAACTGCGACGATAGGTACGACTACTGCGATAGCAATTGTTCCTCCACTCGAAATACCTTTACTGCTCGAATTACTCGATCCTGTACTGCTAAGGCCGGCTGTTCCGGAAGCTGTTGCAGAAGATGAAGTTGATGATGTGGAAGATGCTTTAGATGTGACGGCCTGAGTAGATGTGATGTATTCGGTTGTGACTTGTCCAGACGATACGCCATCCGTTGGAGTTACGGTAACGACTGATACGAAAACTGAAGATGATTGTGTAGGGTCGGCAGTTGTTGCGGGAGTTGTGGCGGCTTCTGTGGTTTGTTGAGTTGTAGGTTGAGTAACAAGAGCGGAAGTTGTAGGAGTGGTTCCGACTGTCACTGGAGTTGTCGGCGTTGGAGTTGTTGGCGCCGGGGTTGTTTCTATTGATGATTGTGTAGTGGGTAATACTGTAGGGGTAGTCGTTGCAGGATCAGCACTTGTGACTGTAGTCGATGGAGTTGTGTTAGCAATTGCACTCGACGAAGGAGCGACGGTGGATGATGTAGATATTAAAGACTCTGAAGTCGCCGAAGGGACTTCAGAAGAAGTAGGTGCAGGCGCACTGGTTGCCATACTTGTAGTGTTAGAAGACATCGTGAATTGTCTGACGACAAATTTTCTGGGCTTCCTAAATGTAGCCATATTATTAGTCACCAATCTCCAATTGCATTCAGCCACTCTACATTGAACATTTAGGCAAAATGTAGAGATTGAGTAACTGATATAATATCTTGGAAATATCTTACCCTCAGCCAATCTTTCCCTTTCTTGAACAATATAACCACCAACTGTATGTGTTGTTGTAGCAGTGGAGAATTGCAATACGATGCAGTTTCGAATTGGTTGAAGAAGGTATTCAACGTATTCAAGCACAAACGAGAGGTGCTTCGAAATGACCGGACGAAGATCGATTTGGGGGTTAAGTCGGGCTATTGGTTTTGGTGTAGTGTACTTGAGTGGTTCTCGTACAATGATTACGAACGCTTTGATTATTATTTTTTCCTTCCGGGGGTGAGAGGGTTTCGACACGTCGCAGATGTTGGGAAATAAATGGTTGTTAAAAGTTGTATGTATAGAGTAGAAGAAAGAGTTAATAAGAGAAGACTGCAATCGAATGCGTCTTCCAAATTTCGATTAATAAGGCGTTTAAGTTTGAGATCTAAGACTTTGGACCGACAAGAAGAGGTTTGTTTGGTTTGTGAATACCTAGGTAATGAACGAAGGGGTAATTTGGAAATGGTTGAAATCGGTAGGTTGTTATGTTTTTTTTGGTTGTTTGATCGTTTTAGACGAATGAAATACGAGATACCAGATACCTAGATAGGTAATGGAAAATGAATGTGTGGTGAAAGTGGAAATGGAGGCGTTCAGTAGTGGCAGTGGCAGTGGCAGTGACCGTCGCAGGAAGAGGGAGAGTAGAAAATGGAGAATAAAAATGAATGAGAGTAAATCGTTTTCGATCGAACGAATTGCTTTCGGTCGGTACCTCCTTAGGTATTTTCGATTATGTACTGTATTGACGTATAATTTCCAATGTTTTGTGCCGGTTTGGTTATGTGAGACAACAAGTGACACCCTCAGACAAAGATTCTTCACTTCTCTTTCCCTTTTCTTCTTCTTCTAACTTCTCTCAAAATTCAAACTCCACTCACTCAGTCCACTCAGCCTTCACGAACCACTGATGAGGTTCTAAGACTCCTAGTCTGTACTCTGTAACTCTGTTGTTTTTACTTTTTCCTTGCCAGGGTTCAAGGTATCTTTCTCAGCCCGAGCCAACGTGCTACGAAATTAGATTTTCTTAGCTGGCAGCGGGATGGGATGGCTATGACCGTGATATCGGAATTTGGGGGAAGATTGAGGACTCGCTCGTGGGTTGACTGATTTGATTTGATTTGATTGATTGATTATATCGATAAGAGTAGAGTGCTTAGGTAGGTAGTAGTTGTTGTCTTGGTTGCTGTTATTGCCGTCGTCGTCGTCGTCGTCGTCTTTGGATTTGAGAGGAATGTGTTTGGGATTTCCATAGACGGAGGGATTCGCGGAGAAGAATTGATGTTATTCGTACTGTGAGAATCAATCAAAACACATGCATTGTGATGAATGGATGGATTTGTTTGGTCGATATAAACCTCGGAACAAGGTTGGAATCGGAAGAGAGGAAGCTTGTGCGGTATCTGTGAGTATTGAAAGTTTTTACGGGTAGGTCCAAGATAGGTAGGAATGAGTTTGTTCCTGCTCTAAATTGTAACTACCTACCTAGGTAGTCAATGTAAATACCCTTCTGCAAAACTATATCTCTTCAATTCAACTTTATGATTTCATCGATGTCCATATTATCATCATGATTCGGAGCATTTTTGACATTTGAGTTGATGTTTTCCTAATACCACTATCACTCGTGACTATTTCTATAATAACTCTAAATATACTCCTGAAGTCTAAAATTTCCCTAAAAGTCTATATTTCGAGTTTAACGATTTTGCATCTCTTGTTATTATGTTGCAATTGCCTTGTTCGCCTTGTTCGCCATGTCTCTTGGTATTTCTCATGGAAATGAGATACGATGTCGATCAGACGGTATCTTAAAAAACTAACATCGATAGTCTCCAAGCTAAGATGCAAAGATTCTCGTCTACCAAATCATCTCAACTTCCCCAACTTCAGGGTCTATTCTTGTATAATATCGCCTGCAACTGCGCCTAGGTGACAAAAAAAGGCCTTTCAGAAGTACAAACATTAGTTGTCTCTCTAAGCATGCAGTGTCAATCGTGATATCCCCACGAATCAGAAGTGATGACATCGTCGACAATACGAATGTACGAAGTACGAAAATGACCGTTTCATTGGTGGCTGTGTCTTTATGTAAGTAAGAAATCTCAGCATATTAATAAACGGCTGCATCGTGACGGCGTCGGTCAAATGATGGATCTTTCCTCAAGCCTCCATCGTATTGCGCCCACCTCACCAGTGCAGTTCGTTGAACTAAAATGATTCATGGCAATTCACGATCCACGAGCCTTCATCCTTTGGCAAGCAATGTATCAAGACGTTTCCATCGACGCTCAATTCTTCTCTTCCACTTTCCAAGGTCCTTTCCGAATTGTAACATCACTTGGATCTCTCCTTCCTAATGCATCTTCGCATAACCCAAATTCGGTCAAACTCCTCCGGATTTGATGATCGCCGTTACTGTGCTGTATTGCAAAACTTGCATCTTCAAAACTGCAGGTATAACGGGTTCATCACAATCCCCCTAACCCCTTGATTGACCCCTCACAGAAAAACATTCGCACACAACAATTTTTTGGCAACTTCACAACATTCAATTCCAATTCAAAATATCTCATTTAGAAATGAAACTTGATTCGTCAATCCATACCTTCCATGTCTTCCTTGAGACCTTCCATTCCAGCGATTTTCATGAATTATAAGATCCGAAAACCCACAATATGATTCGTCAATAAATCGGAAATTAACCAAATACCATCCCTACCAGTGACGAAAATGGTGTATAATTTTCATTTGATTTCCCCGTTGTTTTTCCAAGATGGTAAAATAATAAGCAAGGGGCGAGGAGAATATATGAGGAGAAACCACGAGATTTCTAGGACCTGGGTCTTTGGATTTCCTTGTCCTTAAAGATCCTCTGATATAAAAACATGGAAGAGCAATTGACGTCAGGAAATTATAGAGAGCGTTGTCATTATTGACATTGATCATTCCGATGAGTTGGAGAGAGTGTGATGGGATAGTGCTGGTTTGGCAAGTGATCTGGCCAATCGCTCATTTCTTGAAATTCTGGTTCACCTTGTAACCACTGGTTGATCCTGTCAAATTTCAAGAATCCATCGTACCGCTCGCTGCTACATGGGAGGACAATAAGTTTCAAAGTACAAGAAGACTCAATTACTAAATTCACACTCGTGATTTGGATAACTTATCTGCAATTAGAAATAAGTATCTCCATTCATACTCGATTTTAAGACTTTGAAGCAATAAAGAATACATGGTCTTATTCCAATAGTCTATGCATAATATTTCCAATGGTAGAAGGGTTCAAAAAGTGAAAAAAAGTAAATTCAGTCGCGTATCACGTGATTATCCTCAAAGTTCACCTTTGCTGAGCTACGAGCTCCATATCAAAAAAGCATGAAATCAAGTTTCTCGATACTAGCGATCTTTCTTTCTTCATCTCGTAAGCACGACGGTCAGCGTGGGTCGTGATTTCTTTCTTTCTTTCTTCGACACAACAGGTAGTGTGAGTATTCCATTCCCATGCCCATTCCCATTCTCCCATTCCACTTAGCAGCCAGTCTATATTGCATGTTTCTTTGCTCCGTTGCATGGAATTGAGATATCTATATCTATTGTGCTTCTCATAGCATATAGATTGGTATCTTGATGGGAGTTATTGAGCCACGGTTCTTACATTGTTTCCCATCTCAAGACCGGAGTGATCTCGAGATAGCTGAAAGGAATTGTGTTGTTTGTGCTTTGGGGCTTTATCTATGGATGGAAACCGTCATGGCTGTCCACAGAAACTTATGATATTCTTTCCGCAGATTGGTACAATACTATATCGCCGCGCGGGGCCGGTGTTGTTGATATCATTTGGCCCCAATGTTCATCATTCTTCTCAGAAGCAATCAGCTGCATAGTTTTAAACTCGAGCAAAGGAAAGAGACAAGCAACTCAAACACACAAATGATTCACGCCGACTTCAAAGGTTCATCTCATCTATCGCATTCGATCTTTCGTTTGATATCAATGAATGATTACTTTTGACGCCTCACCTTTCGAGATAAACCTCTTTCCTAACCCCTGCTCTCGACTGGTTCATTGCATCTGGGGCGGATTGAAGCCTCGAGGGGCTTCACCCCGTTCTCTTCATAAGTTCACTTGTGTCGACACGGTTCACAGTAACCAATTCTTTCTCCTGTCCTGGACATGATATCAAACGGTTCGCTTCGAATATTGTCATGGAGTTCTTGTGACAATCACTTGAATTCTTCACATACATTTTCAAGGCCAGTCCCGAGCAGCGAAGTTAACGAGGTTCATGCCAAACAACACATCGATTCGATAGTTAGAAAATCTCTGTATTCCCAGAATTCACACTCCAGTAAAGGTGCGAGATGATTAAGAAATGACTCCTCTTTTTTCCCGCTTCCTTTCCGTCTCATCTACTTCACCATGTTTTTACACTTTTATGCATGTGCTCGTGATAATTTTTGTTATTATTACTCCCCAATATACCGGATCTTTCATGTCATACATGTATTCCGAAGTCACATGGATTATGCTCTTGATTCCTTTCTTCTAGGATCGTAGAGGAAGAAAGATGAACGATTTCTGGGATATGAAGCGGCTTCTCTCTCTTCTGTGGTGGAGAAAAACGAAATGGAATGGAGCAAGTGATATGTTGAAAAGAATTCTTTTTATAGAGGTGGATTGATTGGTTTCAGATTTGTAGAAAGTCTGAACGTTAGAAGTTATGACAAGAAATCCACTTTCACTAATCACTAGCACATGTTGTATTGCGTCACAGATGTATGTTTTCCACAGTCTCACAATAATGCATGGCGAGTTGGGACGAAGTTTTGTGGATGAGGGAATATATTTTCTACCTGCCATCCAAAACCATGCATAGTTTTAGTAGCTTAATTCATTGTACACTGAGTCATTACTGGCGAGTTGACTCTAACTCTGCATATAGCTTCTGGGATGCAGCTAAATGTCTGGAGGAAGAGGACGGTTCAAAGCCACCCACGCCCTTTGACACTCGATCTTTGCCCGGTAAAGTTGAAACAAAAGACGCCTCATCACGTCCGGTCTAGCCTGGTTATCCTCCTCAGCATCTACTTCTCTGCGGATAGTACCTTGTTCCAGGTTCTTAAGAGCTTGCCAATATTCATACACGCGTGTTTTGTTTCCCCAGTTCCTTGGAGGCCGTGGATGTCGTGGATGGTCTCCATACTCTGTATATCGCTCATTTCTCGCAGGATTTGGATCGAGCCAACGGCGATAGTATATAACATCGAAAAAAACGTTGTCCCTTATGTCAGGGGCCCCTGTAGCGAGTTCGCGGTAGTTGCTGGCTTCTCTCAACCGTTCGAGTAGTACAGAGATGTTTCTTTGCACGGTGTTGCTATCAGCATCACCAAATTCTGCACGGTGATCGGGACAAATGTCATCTGGCAAAGGAGGATTGAGGCTATAACGACACGGCCGTCTCTCTGGACGTTCTCGGAAGCGTTGGTTTTGAAGCTCCGGGTTTTCTTGACGATCACATCCATCCCAATCTTGGTTGGGCTGATATCTGTGATCGTCTGGGCGGCTATCGCAGTAGTATCGAGCGACGTTGGCGGGTCTACACATAATTGCAGCTGTAATATTCTTCTTGAGACAGAGTCAGCGACGATTTCACTCTGTGAGAGAGATTCATATTACCTGTACCGGAAGAACTATCTCTGAGATCTGATAGTAGAGTGACTTCGTCTTGAACTGTTGTTTTATGTTTGATTTTCAATCGTCGAATTATTGGAGAGTTCAGTGTTGATATCCGAGCAAGTGTTTGGTTGTACTTAAGAAGGGAAAAAAAGTGAACTGAGAGGGGAACTACTGAGTATTGGGTATGGAACTCGATATCTTCACAAGTCATCAGAGGAACATGATTTATTACGATGAATTCTTTCCAGGGGAAATCTAATGGACTCATATCGTAGTTTCGACTCACTTCAATTGTCACCACATGTACTACATGTGAGTTTTAGTATTGGAAGTCAGAGTAGAATGAAGATACGAAGATCAAATCACAGGAGTTAGGAATGAAATCCCAAACGTCATGGTGTGAATGCTAAGTTTGAATTACAATAGCAATCTAAGCCGTTGACCAAGTGATAAAACCCCAGAATAATGTAACCCCCAAAGCGCTGGATAACAAGAATATCTACAAGTATCATACGATGTAGCACCACCACCAACCATGCTCTATCTCAAATTTTATGTATCTACCTATGAGCATCATCCTCTCAACGTATGCAGCACGCAATACTCAATCTGACAACGAGCAAGCTGGCCAAATATCTCTGCCAATGATTCATTTTTCACCTCGCTGTTCCCACGTCTTATAATATCCGCCAATTTCCGCCACTGCGGGATATCCACATGGAGGAGCTGATCAAAGTACTTAGTACCACTAGATGTATTATTCTCCCTATACCCGGCGTCTTTTGGAGGCGGCATATACTGAGTATACTTTTCATTCGGCGCGGGCATCTCTATATACATCGCAAAATCGAAAACCAAGTGAGACAAAGAACGCATTTCCGCCCTGAGTTTGCTGGGGTTGTTGAAGAGTCCACAAAGTTCATCCATGCGTTGGAGAATAGCCTTCATATGCGCATTTATGATGGCGGTACGCTCAGTTCCCCATTTAAAATAGCAATCGGGACAAACTGACTTCGCGAGTGGCGCTTGATCGGGTGCATCGTAACATGTTCTCTCTGGTGCTGAGAATACTTTTCCGCGAAGGTTTACATTGTGATGATTTAAACATCCTTCCCATTGCTCCGACTCTGGGTTGAGATAGACATGTGGCGGGGATGCTTGGTCATCGTCGCAATAGTATGTGATGGGTTTGGTGAGTCGACACATGTTTATGACTAGAAGTCAAGTATCCAATGTCAGGGAGGGGCTTGGTCATCTGGATATGAAGCTCACCTGTATAGTAATAAATTATGAGCTATGATCAAAGCTACCGGGGATTCCCACGAGATTTTAAGTAGTAAAATCTACAAGGGAAGCAAGATAGTTATGAATGGTGTATGAATACAAGTCAAAGGATTCACTCACCAGTCAATCATTGTTGTAATTAAGCAAGTTAAACCAACTCGTTGCTTCCTCTCTTTGCAATCGTTACTACTACAGAGGCATAAAACGCCTGCCCTTGCCTTAATTATAGCAGTCAGTCTAAGCGGAAGGCATATTGTAAATAAATGGCTAATAGAGTCAAAAGGTCTTGGTCAAAACCCGGGAGTCATAAGTGAGCCGGTACTCTCAAAACGCAGTTTCCAATCGTTCACAACCAAAGTAACAAGATTACCTATATCTCGGCCAGATTTTGAGCTCGTGATGTCTCAAGAGTAGCAAATTTTCAAACACAATCCAAGGTTTGCGTGAGTTGATCTCGCGGTTATATCCAATGTAGTGAACAATCAGAATTTTGCCACTGGGGTAAAGTCTGTAAATTTGAACTGCCTTTGAGAAGGCAAATGTCTGATGTTCTCTTGGTATAGAATGAGTCATGTCTAGACTCTAAACTACTCGTATGATTGATTTGCGCTCCAAAGCATTGTCGGGGAAGAAAATCTAGGCAAGAGACAATATAATTGTATACCAATGAACATAGTGTATGCATTTAAGTATTCCTTGATGGGCAAGTTCAACTTTCCTTGCTGTCGAACGCCACTGCATGGCTCCTGTATACTGTGAGGGTAGGAGCGAGAGTGTTGAGGGCACATATAGGAAGCCACTTGACATTCCTCTGCTTGGAATTTCAAAGCTTAATATTTGTATTCAAACCCAGTTCCTGTAGTCTCAAAGTAGTCTCGGCTCATGCCTCCTTCACGACCTTCATGATACTATTCGTAGTTTGTAACAAGAGAAGTCTTCAGACTACTTGAGATGTTGAATGCATTTCGAAAATTGAATTGTTTTCAAATGCGGAAATCTCACATCTCACCTGCTATTCCAAACTCCAGAGTCAGCGACTATATTCTCCACTTGGTCATAATATTATAACAACATCGCTACCCAGAATCATCATAATGAGACTGTAGCAACTGCTTTCTTCTCTTCATTGCGAATTTGCAATTGCCAGTCGGGAAGAATCGCACCTAAAGCTCTGACCTCGGCGAATCACATGATGCGGCCGCTTGTCAAAAGTCCATGACGTCCATATTTACTTCCCCACGCCGTACACGATATCCTCCCCAGCTTGAGATTTTTCCAATTGCTTTACGAGCTTCGAGATTAAACTACTTACATTTCAATTCATATCAAAATGACATCTCTACGTATTGCCCGTCGGGCTTTCCGTACCTCAATGCTTAATACTTCTCGACCACTTTCCAGTACAACTTTCCGATTTGCAAATGCCAATCCCGGCAATGCAAAAGAGCATGATGGGACTGAAGAGTATCGCAAACGTCAAATGGAAAAGCCATTAAATCCACATATGACGAATACCAATTCTACTATTGTAAACGAAATGCCTAGTGCAGGTGCGGGAAAGGTTCCACCAGAGTTTATAACAAGTGTGGATGGAAATTTCACTCCAAAAGATAGTGTACCGGAAAACACGGAGAGGATGACTGGTGGCACTCAAGATGGACATGGAAGTGGTGTTAATAGGGAAATGGCTGTTGGAGAAATGGAGGGAGCACAGTTCCGAGTAGAGCCATTGAGAAGGGACGGAGAGCACGAGGAGAAGATGAGAGCGAGATTATTGTGTATGTTTTTCGACATTTCGCCACGACATCTATCTTGATACTATTTTCCTATAAGGATCAAAACCTTGCTAATAGAATGTCCCATAGATCAATCGCGCAAACGAGGAACTCTTGAATCCGATCTCCTAATGTCCACCTTTGCCGATGCTCACCTACCTAAAATGACCGCTGCACAAATGGTACAATATGATCAATTCCTCGACGAAAATGATTGGGATATCTATTACTGGGTCACCCAAGAACCATCCCCAACATCTCGCGAAACAGCGGAAGGAGCTGGCCTTGGACCCGAAGGAGCTACAACCAACGCTATGGGTACCGATCAAAAGAAATCACCAGTAGCACAAGGTACAGATCCTGGCAAACAAACCGGTCCCGAATTAGAGACAGATGCATGGAGAAACGGTGCTCCCAGAAGTGGAGAATGGGCACAAACGATTGGAACTTTCAAGCCTGCTTATAGACCGGTACCAAAAAGATGGCAAAACAGTGAGATTTTGGCTATGTTGAGGAAACATGTTATCTCGAGATCGGCGGGAGGTGTGCATGATGTGGAATTGGGTTCCACTAGTGTATCTGGTAAGGGAATGGCTTTCATGCCACCTATCTTTCAGACTGATCAGAAGCGATCATAAAATGAGGGTCAAAGGATTGTAACCACATAGGAAAAGGACTTTCTATTGGTCTGTTCACTGTAAGTAGGGATACCATTCATGTATGATATTAGTTAACGATGTACGGGTATGATAATTATCATTAACATATTCCATATTTATCATATGTTCTGATCTCAAAATACCTCAGCCCACCAACTATATTTATTCATACCGCTAATAACCACATTCATGTCCATCTTATATCTGAACTTTCATCTAATCTTTACCCAAAACATCTAAATACACCCCTGAATTCTTCACCCCTGAATTACACATTACGACTGACATCCAACATTACGAAATCTAGTTCCCGCCTCGGCAAAATTATCCACCTCCTAAACTAACCTTCCTTCCCTTTTCCTTGCCGACAATGCAGGTCGTAAACACGAGCCCAAGTCTAATCTTTCACAACAATTACATGCCAGCTCCAACCTGCCCTTCAGCAAAGTCTCCTAGCCCGAGACTCAAGAGTGTGCATTGGATGAATAGCCATGTTCGTACTTGTACCGGGTAATGAATGATTGTGTGCAAAATTAGGGTGATACTTTCTCGGGGGAGTGAAAGCATATTGGATATTGTGATTTCGTCTTTGTGTATGATTGGTGACGAAGATAAGTGTGAGCATTTATGAAGATGTAGAGTAGCGAGAGTGGTTATCCGGTATGATAAAGAGGGCTCGTGAAAAGCCAATCCGGCGACGAAACGAATACAAGCCAAAGATTTCCAAGTAAAGAGAAACTCTCGTCTCTCAAAATCAAATCAAGAACCCCTTTTGAAAACCACTTTAAGGACTTTATCTCTACCCTTCCACTTTCTCACAACAAACTCCTTACTTTTCCTCAACAACTCTTTTTCACTTCTCAATAATTCCGCTTCGCTTCGCCCTCTCCCAGCACCCAACGTATAACAAGAAGAAACAGATTGCCAATAAAACCCTTCTCTACTCATTCCCTCTACCTTTTCTATACTTATTCTCTTCCCTTCAAAGAGTTGACACCAATAACTCCCTGACACTTCTTTAGTAAACCCTCCAATTTCCTCGATATTCTCTCCGTCCCAAATTCCGCCCTCAAGTTCGTTTTCCCAGCGCTAACCACCGGACTCAAAGGGCTCGGCAATCTCTCCAATCCCGATACGTCAGTCAACGTATCAGGCGTCTCGGTTCCAGGCACAATAGTTTCTTCGCTCGAAAAAGGCGTCTCACCACAATTCTCCGCTTGGTAAAAACTCCGCTCAATTTCTTTCCCGCGTTTTTTACACTCGAGAATGAGAGCGTGCCAGTAGAAAATTAGATCGCGACGGAGACGTTCGGCTTCCAGACGTTCTTCGAGAAGTCTTTCGAAGGCGTGCGAGAGCTCGATTTGGGCTTGGGGAGCGCTCATGTGGGAATTGGGATAGTGTGTATGTATGTATGTGGGTTATTGAGGGGTAAGTGGTGAGGTGTACGTGGGGAAAGTCAGACTTGCATATGCATACATGCAGGTACAATCAGATATGAAACTCCCGAAGAATGAATTGGAAGTGGAGCTTAAATATCATGCAAATAGGTGTCATAATAAATTCCTCTCTATTTTTACATTCAACCCTTCTTATAACTATCTCTTCCTTCCCTCCATTTCCTCATTTTCTTCAAATTCTGCAACCAAGCTTAGAAAAACCCCAAAGGCTGGAAACAAAAATGCAAAGAATTGCAAAAACTTCATCGCGCCATCTCGAAGAATTCGCGAAAACTGCTCTGGAATGTGAAATGAACCCCCTCCACAAATCTGCCACAAAGAAATATTTCCAAAAAGCTCAGCAACCAATTACCAAGGAAATGATCGACGCCATACATTCCTCGGTCACAATGTGTTTGTAGCCGACGAAAAATTGTGTATCTTACAGGTTCACATCTCTTTGTTCTTTGAGAGAATCCCCTCAAGCCATGTGGGTTTCTTTGATAAACTTGACAGCTCCATCTTCGCAAAGGAACTCGAGTCGATCAAAGAGAAAAACTTTTCATGGAGCTATGGGGGGGGTAGCTATATTATGCTGTAGTTTCTCCAATTGCTTTCGAAAGCTCTTTCCCGTCTATATTTAATTTCTTAAACGTTTGCATCACTTTTACTTCTATCCAAAACCGAGGCGAGGATTTTTCGCCTATCCATCTCCAAGAATGTACTGCATTCCCACACCCAACGATATAGCTCCGCATCGGCAAACACATGCGCAGAACGGTACGAAATGGCTAGTATCGGCACGTATTGCCATCCCGGGGAATTCGAGACGATGTTTAAGGACGGTGCAGAGTGCACAATCACGTGTATGTCACGCAAATATACTTCATTCCAATGAGCACAGTGTATAATATAATGAAGAAGGCTGGTAGACACCTGACCTGTTCATAAATATCTCCTCCTGGACATTTTTGTCTTGTTTGCTTCATCACCTACATCATCGTACATCTGGCATTTGACTTGCGTATTCTGCTTCTCCCTCCAGCCTATCA